CCAAAAAAAGGAACATCATTCCCTAGTTGCACAGGTCCAATAGCTATCGCGGCTGCCGTTATTCTTGTTTTACAAATTCAATTTTAGGACTTCCACAGTTTATCCTTCCGTCGTGATGGTGTTTGCAATTTGTAGGGACATAATATTATCTTTGGCATCAATAACATTCGGCACACTAAATATAAATGACATTCTGTATAGTTCTTTAGTCAAAGTACCATGTGAAATTGGTTGCATATTATATGATAATCTAAACACCACAAGGATAGACCAGCTAAAAACAAAACTTCCACTTCACCGATTCAGTATTCTAAAAAGAATTTTTACTTTAAATTTTCCTACACAGTGTTAACAAGGCTCTTTCATATTAAACTCACAACAAAGTACAAGATTAAGGAATGATTTCACGGGATAAAGGAAAAACCCATTCTGAATCGACAAAAGCTGGTGGGATCAATTCTCAAAACGGCAATGCAAAATGCAACATATCTATTGTAAGTCCAAACCAATCGTATTAGCTCCATTAGCACAAGTCCAGATCTATATGCTGCTGCCTAATCATCGTTCTGGCTCTCATCTTTGACAAGCCTTATCATGTCATCGATTCTCAGAATAGTAATAGCTGCTTCCGTAGCAAACTGGTACGAAATTACATAGTATTAGAAAGGACATAACCTAAAACTCAGAAGATCAGCATTCTAGTGCAGATTTACCTGTATTATTTTTACTTTGCTCATTGCAGGCTCAATCACTCCAGCTTCCAAGTTATTTCGCACAGTGCCCTTTGCTAGATCCAGTCCCATGCTGTATAAAGCAACAAAACCAGATTATAAAAGCTCGTGGGAAGGATTGACAGATACATCAATTAATAGCATTCATTAGATTCAGCAGTGTTCAACATCCATCTAACAGAGAAGCACGATCTGTAGACCCCAAACAAAGTTATAAAAAGCAAAAGGCATAAGAGAGACATTTTCATTCTGGTGAAGGGACGGATAAATACCTCAAGAATAAGCTGAAGCTTTTAAGATCCCTTTTATTAATGCCACTTTAAACTTTTTGGGACACTAATCCAGAAGCTTAAGATTGGTGCAAACTCTAGATAGCACAAATATTTTGGGGCTAATAGTTAGCTCACAACTATAAGCTGGTTAGTACAGAAACATGGCCAACCCATTAGTACCTTACCCTAGGATCAGCTAAAAATTCTCTTTCACTTTGTCCATAGACCTAGAAAAACTGAAGATGCTTGTGGGGACTGAGTAAATTCATGAAAGAGATGGCAGGACCACCCAACCAGAGAAGTTGAAGATTGGTCTCTCAAAGGTTCTTACTCCTTTACCAAAATCAAGAAGATTTATGCACTTACTCCCCAAGCGANTTAAAATTGATTTCAACTTTCAATTAATCAACCATAAAGAATTAATTGCATAATTCAATTCCAACTTTCAATTAATCAACCATAAAGAATTAATTGCATAATTCAATTCCAAATTTAATTGCTTTAGTAACTGTACTAGGAGAGTAAAACAGATAAGCAAATAAAAAATTTAAATCACAAAGCAGAAGATAACTCGTACACTATTAGAAGAAAGAGCCATTACTTACAGAAAAAGAAGATGAAAGAAGTTAAACCAAAAAAAGCAGCTGCAGGAAATAGAAGCAGTCGAAGACCAGTGGTTACAAACTTAAGAATAAGAAAGTGACGACCCCCCAAAAAAACCAAAGTGTACATGACATTAATATGACAAGTGGCCTTATTTGTTTCCTTCTTTTCGTCGTCTTGTTTTTCATCTACTAATATAAAATTCAAAGAATGAACAACTTCCCAATCCCCTTGCACCTTCTGTCTAAGGAACACACAGTTATGTGCTTCTCCAATATACCCCCGCTTTACATCGCTCCTTTGCTTCCCAAAAGATCAACAACCTCTAACGCACGTGCTTCTCCAACACACCTTCGTTTTGCATCACTACATCGCTGTAATAAGCGATAAAGCAATGGCTTCAACAACACTGCTGAAACCAACAACACACTCTTCTTTAGTTTCCTGTTCTTTCAGCAATTTTCTCTATCTGATCTAAAGGTCCTCAACACATGCATAATGCAGCCAAAGGCACGCCTTGTGGGGTAAAGAATACACCTCATAGAAGCTGTGCCTCTTCCGAATCTACTCGAGGCAATCATCCATCCGTTCGCTCAAGGAACTCCTCGCGAATGTTAAGAATTGTGACACAAGGATCTCCAAACAAACCCAACAACCAGATTCTTATGAAACTAAAAACTTGAAATCCTAGTAACATGAAAAGCATACTTGAAAAGTAGTGCATCAACTTGTTGAAGCCTTGACCAAACGACACAAAGATATACAGATTCCAAAGAATACCTTGATAGATGCTTCTTATCAGCTTTGGTTTGTGCAAGGTAGTGACATGAACGTAGTTTAGATACCAAGTCGCTGGAATCTTTTGCAGCATTATTTGCAAGAACCTGCACCAGAAGAAATTCACCAAATCTTGATCATAGAACATACAAGTGGTACAAGGGCATCGGCCATTTTTGTTATATACAACTAACAAGGACCTTTGGTATGACAAGTAAGGATTCAGCAAATTGTGCAATAGCCAGCTGCTCCCTTGACCCAAGAGTAGTAGCTAGGTACTCCAAGTAGACACATAAAGCAGCCTCAACAGCCCCACCACCAGCAACAACCTGTTTTACCAGTTACCAACTGATCAGGCATTTATAATTTCACTACTTCTTTCTATAGCAAAGAGAAAATGAAGATTATGGTAGTAAATTTACTCCATGGCCAAGTGAAATTATTGTGCTGGAAGATATCCACAAGCAACGTACAGCAACTAGCAGTAAAAAATCAGAATGTACAGTTCTCCTTATCAAAGTATAAGGCCATTGAAGTACCATAGACTGTTAAACTATTTTTAAAATATGGAGTTACACCCCTAATCACTACCATGTAACGACACTAGTACATTAGTTCATCAAACAAGTTAAAATGATTATCCTTTCTTTTGGATAAGGAAGTTAAACTGATAATCTACACCTATTCTAGTTCTAAACATAGTATAACAAGTATAAGAGAATAAGCTTCCCTACAGCAAGCTTATAAATTTCAACACGCCTCGCATAACCTGTTATCTGTACAATTTGGATCAATGTAAACACTGACAACTGCATTCAGAAAAGTGGATGCAAGAACTTACAGTTGTTGACTCAAGTGTTCTCTTCACAATGCATAAAGCATCATGGAGGGCCCTCTCCATCTCATCAAGCATAAAGTCATTTGCACCTCTAAGTATTAATGAAACCTGATAAAGCAGCAGGTCAATCCATATTCATAACCTTTGAGTTTCAACACAAACTTCATTTTGGAAAGAAAAGATACATCAGAAGAGCCACAATAAGAGTCACAAGAAAAACTGCAAGAATAGCCTCAAACTATTGTGCAGTTTCAAACAGGTAATCAGAACATCTAAAATAAACTCAAAATTCAGTGCAACTACTTACCGAACTTGAGTTTTTGGTTCCTTTTACCATAATCACATCATCATCAGCAATCCGCTCCTCCACTACCTCCTCAGCATGTCCAAGAAGTGATGGTTCAAAAGTTTCTTCTCCTTCCATATCCGCAAATGTTGAGACCTGTATAGCAGCAATATATGAGCACCATGCCATGTTCACAGATATGATTATGGTAATTACCAGTAATTGTTGTTGTTACATGCCCAAAATCATCGCCACTATCCTACTCATAGTATTGCTTCTCTTTAGTTCCGCAACCCCCTACTGGGGGGCCAGCAGCTATTTGAAGTGAAGACAGCTTATCATATACTGCTTTCATAAGGTAAGAGATTTGATGTCCTCCCAATGGGAATACAGTTACTCCAAATATCGTAAACCAAGTAAGAACTCACTGAAAGTAGGTTATATTCATTCTTCTTGATCCTAACTCCATTCAATTAGAAATCTCTAACCTTTTTGTCCTTCATATGATACTCCACTTGCTCATCTTAATTATCAACGCTATAATAGAATTCCNCAAGTTTAATCTTTTTCGACATGACCATGAAAAAGTGCATGCTAACACTAGGTATCACCAAATAATTAGAACAGTTTTTTCCAGTCTGATTTTAGTACAACCTTAACTTCGTAGAAGGATTAAGAATACTTGTAACAGCAATAAGAGGCGGGGTGTAATTTTCCAAACTAACAACTGAGGTTGCTCCAGTTGGAAGAGCACTCCACGTCAAACCAAGAGGTTGGGAGTTTGAAACACTAAGAGAGCAAAGCAAGAAACAGCCAATAAAAGCAAAAATTCCCAGATCAGTCTAGTGAACATACCACAGTTGCGCCGGTTGCCTTGGCAACATGGCGCAAATCCTCTTTGCGTACACGTCTAACTGCAATGGCACCAGCTTCCACAAAGTACTGAAACAGAAAAACATGAAATTAGACCTAACTGCACCAGCTTCCGCAATCACACTTTTTTCCAGATCAGACGCTTTTGCAATCATACTTTAGAGAGAAGTACCAAGAAACCAAAAGAAGTAGCCAAGATGGAATTTGTTCTGCAGAGATAAGTTATTGCTAAGTAAAGGCCGGCTATAGATGTTGCTAGCTAAACAACATTTCAAAAAAAAAAATGCTGCCATGACCGCCACATATACATCCACAACAAGAGCCAAATATTTTTTACTATTTTAGTTTTTTTAGAAGGTAACTAAGTTAATAAAGAAAGAGCTAAAAAAATTATCTGCACCAAAAGAGCTAATTGTTTGCAAGGATACTGACATCACAGCAAAAGCCACCAGTGATTCGACATTTCAATGCAGCTAAGTCGTTTGCAAGATACTGGCTCAATGAGGGTGCTAGTTATCAAGAACGTGCCAGGAAAGATAAAGAGAACCACTAGACCTTTGTTACCCTTTCAAAGAAAGCTCAAGTATGAGCTCAGAGGTACCTAAGACGAACTAATTCTCAACAGAGTATAGAGCATTTGAAGGAGACATCAAACCATGAAAAGAAACAATTAAATTTAACAACTTGCCTTCAGTGCCATGTCATCAATCCCTTTTGAAGTCAGGACCACATTGGCTCCCGCACTCAAAAGTTTCTGAATCCGTTCTTTTGTCATGTCAGCTTCTCTGTAAACATAAATCTACATTAGGGCTGAATTACAACATGCTGCTGTGGTTTAACCAATATGCTGTAAATCATAGCTACAGAATGGCATGGGTTATCCCAGGTAATATCAAGGAGATACCATTGTGCAATCATTAAAGACAAGACGGTTATGTCAAAAATAGCACATTTCCTCTTCTAAATAGCATGCATCTTTGCCTTCATCTCTCGTTCGGCACCAGCAATAAGATACACAATGTACTATGTGGTAGGGAGTAAGATACCAAACATTTAAACTGTCACACACATGTTGGAAATTCACATATAAATGTAGCAAATATTCTAAAACTCAAGGCCCACGGTAACATTTCCAAATATAATTTTCCAGCACCCACAAGTTGAGTGAGAATTACTAATTTGGAAATATCATGGCCATATGAATCAAATATTAGCTTGCTTACTTGCTATTCTTTGGCTTCAGTTATGAGAAGTTGACAAGTACAAAGATGTATTGATGCTAACACATTGGTAGCAACAGAATAGACTGAATGGCCCCATTAGAACAATCACCTTTGGCGAATCCTTTCAAGCTCTCGAGGATCAGTTACCAATACTTGAACGCCCATCTGCATTTTTGTCTTTTGAAGATTGAAATCAAGACAAGCAATCCGTGCAGGCGAAACTCTCAGTGGCATTCCTTGGGCAGCACGGCCAGTATTCAGAGCATAACCCTTCAATAGATAGCTATCTTTTGCACTTTTCCCGTGTGCTTTAAGTAAATTAATACCCTGGATAGAAATAAAGTTTGATTTACATTAGTTCTAGGTCTAGATGTCAAAATAGGGGAATCTAAAGAATCAAACTGCACATAATTAGTTTACCAGACCATAGTTGTTCTAATGTGCTTCCAGATTCAAAAAGATACAGAGAAGACCCTCCCAATAAAATTCCTTTAGTATCAGAAGAAGTTTTCTTGAACGAACAACTCACCTTGATAGGATATTTAATTTCACCCCTCGCATTAGTCATCTTGACTGCCTGTACTGCTTCAACAACCTACAAATACACCAACGGCTAAGGCATTATGGTATGTGGGAATGACGTCTCACAAAAAATATAGATACAAAAGACTGTTTGACAGTAAAACGCATTTGGTTATATAATTTAGTTGCACATATATGATAAAGTTTCGACATTAGAACAGGAATAGCAACCAAAAAGATCTTCACATGCTGACTTTACATATGTATGAGAAATTAAGCAGGGAGCAAGCATACAAGTGCTAAGCAAGTATAGTTGTGGTCCTATTAGCCAACAACAACAGAATCGTTATTTTTAAAATTTTAAAAAGAAGCTTTTTTCCAATAATTATGTTCTTAATCATGCAAGCTCAAACAGGACAAGAAATTAATTTTCCCTCAGTGTTCCTCTCTTTTCCCATCAAAACCATACAAATTGTCTGTAAGCAAAGTATGAGAATGTTATTAACCAGAAAGCATACATATCATGAGTCGGGAATTAATTGCCTAAAGGCAGCAACATCAAAGAGACAATAACCTGAGGTCAGACGAAAGCAGGTAATAAAACCAAACTATTACATAACACATCCATGAGTTTTTATGTTCTGCAAATGGAGATCGCAGACAAGGTTTCAGATTAAACAGGTTCACAAAAGTCATCGGTTGTATTTAGCCATATGGGAGAGGGCAGGGCTAGAGAATTTTCCTGTTAGCACAAAACGATAATATTACCAAGAATAGTCCAGACTAAGTCAATAGAAGATTAAGTTTCTTAGGTTGTTTGATGAAATCTACAGTTGTATACTGACAATGCTGGATGCAACATTAATTAAATTGATTTGAATAATCAAAAAACTTATCCTTTGGTTTTTTCATGAATGGGCACAGTTGATTTAATCAAGATAACCCAATTGCAATGAACACCATACCATATTAGCAAAGAAGTCACTATCAGCTGCTATCAACTTTGATGACATGCTTGTCTTGGCACAGTTTACAAGAGAATCTTTTCCAAGTTTATCAACCTGAAAAACAGTAGACGGACCGGTTAGGATCATCAACTGCATAAACATAGTTGTCAAAGGTGAAAATGTTGATATGCACCAAGGTCTGCTAGGGTTTGAAGCAAAAAGCGCACTTAATACATTAGTTTTTTTTATCAATGAAAGGCTTTAATAAAGAATAAAAATAAACATATATATGAAAAATTATTTATAGATGACATAGTTTTGATTGATGAGTCGCGAGCCGGTGTTAACGAGAGGCTGGAGGTTTGGAGACATGCTCTTGAGTCTAAGGGTTTCAAGCTGAGCAGGACGAAGACGGAATACCTGGAGTGTAAGTTCAGCGCTGAGCCAGGGGAAGTGGGCGTGGATGTGAGGCTTGATTCGCAGGCCATCCCAAGAAGAGGCAGCTTCAAGTACCTTGGTTCGGTTATCCAGGGGGGAGGGGAGATCGACGAGGATGTCACACACCGTATTGGGGTAGGATGGATGAAATGGAGGTTAGCATCTGGAGTCTTGTGTGACAAGAGAGTGCCACCGATACTCAAAGGCAAAATCTATAAAGCGGTGGTTAGACTGGCCATGATGTATGGGGCTGAGTGTTGGCCCGTTAAGAACT